TTTTTGACTTCAATGGTCACAGTTTTTTCCATTATATTTTTATATAAATTCTTTTTCTCCTTTTAGGTGGACAACAAAGTGTTAGTTCCCTTTGTTGTTGCTCTTTGTAGGGTGGCCTGAAATGCAATCTGAAATTCTTCTTCAAACCCTCTAATAATCATAAGGGACCATTATGTACAGAGACTTGGATTGGGACAAGTGTCAGCATAAGAAATAATTTTGCTCTTTGGGATCAAACAGGACTAGATCTTTTGAAAAACTTCTTGAATTGTCAAGTTAGCAAAGCTACATTGCCAAATTGTGCATATGTTAATTACACGGATTTTTCATTTTATCTTCATATATCTGTGTTCGGTTCTTTTTGGACACTTCATTATTCACGTAGATATGATCATAATGCACTCGTGTTAGACAGATAACCCTATCCGAAACGAAGCTGAAATTCAACTGATACATACTAAATGATCCTTGAAGCTACTGTAAAAGAGCAATGTTGGAGGATTTTATCAGGGCTTGTGGTGGAGTGTGCCATACAAGCTTTTAAATAGTTCCAACTAAGGGCTGACGCATTCAAAGTTAAAGGAGCATATTCTGAAATATCAGAACTTAAAGCCAGCAATGGTCAGTGGCATTGCATTCTCTTTTCTTTCGAAAAAGGCTTGAGGATAAGCATTGGTTCTTGCTTTCTTCCTTTCCTCCCTCTCTCTTATGCGTGCGTAAACACACATTATGCCACCCGGATTACTGATTATATAGTGGATTGCACGCTAAGAGCAACACAAAATTGGACAAGTTACAATCAAATCACACAAATCTGATTGCAGTCGTCATGTTTAAACATTTTAAAAATTGTTGCTTTAGGACAATTTAAAAGCTTAAGTACACAGCACAAGGATTCCACTGGCTAGCAGCAAGCGGAATATTCACAACATCATTCCTTCTACATTTCTTCCTCTTTCAGTTTCCAAGTAAGTGGTTAGTTTTCAGTATAATAAGATTATTTGAGCTACAGCTTTGTTTCATATATAGTATTAGGTTTGTTTTTTTTTTTTTCTTGAAGCAGCTTAGCTGATGGTTTGGACTTGGAACATCTTTATCAATATTGTCAAGGACAGACATATGGTGGAAGATCAATCACTCTCTGTTGGCTTACAAACTTGGATTGGCAAGTTCTAGACTGACAGAATATGAATACCCTTTTTATCAACAATACCCAAAGAAAAAGTGCTTCTTGAAATGATGGTCATCATGTCTCCAAAATATTTCTTTTCATGGGTCAATTTGCAGCAACATTCTCTAGTCAACTTTCCTACCACTTCCAACGGATGGTTTGAATTCATGCAGCGGACTATATGTACACCTTATTCCTCCACTTGGAACAAAGCAAATTTAAATATGATGACAAAACTTCAAAGAAGTTATGCAGCCTCAAAATTTTTCCGTAGAAACCTTGATGTTTGCACATGGTGGATATAGACTATGATTAAGAATGTGACAATCTGTTGCTGGCATAAAAGAGTATGCAAAGTACAGTTTTATTCTTTTTTTAGATTCATTGATTTTAATGTCTGTCATCTTTACATAGCTGAGAAGGTTTCTTGCAAGTCACGACATATATGTTCACCATGAAGATCTTCTCAAGATATATTAGGATCAAGGATGTGAAATGGGGATCAGCTCTTACAGGCACAACATCCATTCATGTATAAATGTTAATGCTACCATTTGAAAGGACCTGAAATTCAGCTAAAAGGACTCAAAACCTGATCTTCTTTCATAAGAGAGGGTGTCTTGTTGAAAAAAAGTATGATTTTCTTTCATAGTTTTATGTGCTACTTGCCCAGAGTTTCTACTACCAAAGCCTTGCAGAGACTGTGCATGGTCCTTCCAAGTATGCCAATATTTGATACAAATAAATGTGACAAGATATCAAATCCTCTTCTCTGCTTTTAGTATGCTATGTGTGTATCATGGAAATGTATTAGTTAATATCTGTATTTAGCAAAGAACTAATGGAAGTGGATTCATTATAAATTGCATATCTAAAAGGAGGAAATCCTTCTTTCTAGGGGGAAAAATGATAGAAGAGAGCGAGGCAATCCACTTTTGAGTAATGCCAAGAAAAGGCTTACCTATGATTTGGCCAAGGTTGGCCAACGTTAGTGAAAACTTAGCAAATCAACCACATTTCTATTGCATCATAGACCACCGAACTTGGTTATAGTGCTTTGGAACTGACAAGGAAGCTTGGAAACATGGTGGGATTGTTAACTCGCACTATTATTCAAACAATACTGCTCTTTCCAGGGAAAGAACATACGCCCACAATCACAATCAAATTGTTTTATGCTATGTGTGATTAAACAATAAGAAATTCTTGAATTAAAAAAAAAAAAAAACAAAGCCGACCAGCAATTGCATTTAGAAAGGATCCATAAAAGGTTTGACTGCTCTTTCTGGTTTAAATAATTTAATGGGAATGATTGAAGCTCCACCCCTTGTCGTCCCCAAGCAATTTCAGCAAAAATGTTCTATAAAAAGAGTAACATGCAAACTACAGCTGTGATACATTGGTGCCACTATAGCTGGAAAATTAAGGCAACTTCATTGGAGCAACAGTAAGAAATATTTTCCCAACCATTACAAGAAAATGGTTCCAAGTCTATCTTTCTTGAATAAGGGGAAAAATGATCAACAATTCTATCAAAAAAAGAGGAAAATATCTGAAAGCTAAAATGTTGCAAACACAATTAATTGATATGCACCACGTAAAATGGAAAAATTAGCCAAAAAAACTAGTAAATAATTATGAATGAATGGAAATGAAGATTTAAATGGGGTCAGGAACTGCTCAAGGTGTGATGATGAAGTGGAGTAACTATTGTGACAATGAATTCCATTAACATAATCATATTTAAAACGAAAGTGGGAGCAGTGGAACACACCAAAGTGCTTTTAGACAATGCCAAGTCTTTTATATTTTATATATATATATATATATATATATATATATATATATATACATTAAGTTGTAGTATAATAGGTGGCAATTGGCAAAGAAAGCGTTTCCACTTAGGGGCACATTGTTTGATGGAAGGCGATATTCACTCAGGAAAACGAATTAAATTCCCATGGCCACCTGCAACCACTAACAAAGAATTCACAGAAAGATTAGACTTTCAATTGGAGCATAACGGGGAAAAGGAGAATCCATAAAGGTGGAGTTATTGGGGCCATCCCATTAGGCCTGTCAAAGAGTTCCAGCTGTCGATGGGCATTATCATCTCAATCTCTTCAAATCCGTTCGTTTACTTGGCATTTTCAACTGTATATTGTTAGAGAGAGAGGGCGAATACAATATTTCATGCATAACATAAACTTGAGTGGTGGATTCTAAGCCTAGACGTACACCTGGAATGCACAGCAGAGGCTGAACCTAGATGATTTTGAGGATCATGGAGTCTTAACCAATCAGGTGGAGAATACAAAATTTTCACCCCACCCACCCCCCCCTTGTAAAAACATTGCACAAGCAAAGGAAATAGACTAGCATTTTAGAATTGCCAAAAGTGAAAGAGCCTCATGATCCTAATCAAAGCCTGGAGTCAACCATAAAAAGAGATATGCATGCAGTTGTTGGCTAGTTCCATTAATTTGCTCCACTCTTTTAAAATCAATGGAGGCATTATGAATGATGGAGACAGCATGCTCTGTCATTGTCTCTATCCATATGTTTCGACACAGTTTCAAATAACCTAAAGCTCGTGCTTAACTTCAAGTTCTAAAACATGTTCTTTTTCGTTTGGTCCCAAGCCCTCGCAGGAAAAGTGATATATCATGACACCCCAAAAACATTACTTGATGAAGCTAGCAATATCTTGTTAACCATGTATGAACTCCCAAAATCTACATGATTTTCATTCAAGTGTACTAAGGATCTTAGGGAGCGAAAACTAGGGATGCTTGAGCTAGATGGTTAAGGCGTGACAGAAACAGATAGCTGCTAAGTTTCCCTCTTTTTCAGCCCTAGGAGAAGCTCCGTCGACAGAAAATATGTACTGAAGTTATATATGCTAGGTCTCCAGGGAGATGGAACTGTTGTCAGGTCATCCTAAAGAGTACTTAGAACACAAATTCTGAAACTTTAAAGCTAATTAATTAGTAAAACAGTGATTTTATTCTTTTTCAATTCTTTGTATCAACCTCAGCTTTATCGCCTGGCCCAATTGCCTCATCAAAAGAATCTCTTTAGAGCTTATCCAAGCTTTATCCACAGAACTGTATGTTATGGTCTCCTGATAATGCTTAGCACAACTTCGTTTCTAAAGGTCCTCGACAAGCAACTTGCAATTTGCCAGTGAGAATTGTGAAACATCATTAACGAACTAAAAGATTTGATTGGGCCCCAACTATGGATCAGACTGTTTTTCCTATCAAGCAGCATGAACCAGGTATCATATGTCGCTTTTCTTTAATATTTCTTCCTTTTTATAGTAGGAACACTTAGATCTCCATGTGGATATGTCACTTTGCTAACAGAAAAGAGAAAACATTAAGATAAACGTCTAGAAGGTGTGATATACCCAAAGCCCGATATTGTTATGTTCAATTAACTTTTATTGATGGTATCAGATAGACCCAGTACCGGTCCCAGTAGCATGGGCTTTCGCCAATAGCCAGCACAAGGTTCAAATTGCTGGCTCCTCCAATGCCGCTGTCCGTTTCCTACCAAGGCTTTCTTCCCAAGGATGGGAGGCGAGGGCCGAGATCCGAACGTTCCCAGGCCTTAAGAGTCATAAGGGACAGCAACTTTAGACTGCTTACAAGAAATATTTGGCAGCTGTTAAGATTCATCCCAGCTATCGCAGGATAAATCGTGATTTATTGCATTTGTGTCATCACTAATGGCAGGATCAGTATTCAGTACGTTAAGACATACGTTCTACTTTGAGTAAAGCTCAGCTCTGAATGGCTGCAACTAAGATAAGAAAAATCAAATGTACAACATAGGATTCCGGATTTATTAGGGGAAAAAATCGTAATGAATTCCAGATATTCAGGTAACCACATGTTACATCCCATGAGACAGTGCTCTGCAACCACTGTTTTGATATCCCAGTGTTGAGTAAATCCCAAAAGATTCAAAGGATTGAAAGCCTGGAAATAATCAAATTATAGTACTGTCAACTGAAAGTTAGTACTAGGCTACTTAATACAAATAAAAGAAGAAGAAATACAATAGCACAAAAATTTAGCATGGGCATATTTCTTAATTCACTTGGTTGCAGACAAGCATGGGTGAACAAAACCAATGCCACAACAGGTGCCCTGTTGGATGGTGATATTTTGCTTCATAGGACATCCAAAATGTACATTGAGCAAATCAGGAAGGTGGAGTAGAGTCACCGCTGGTATGAAGATCGTATAACCCTGAGATTAAAAACACGAGCAGCCATTATTTGCAAAACAAAACCATGGGGAAAAATTCCCTCTTAAGCAGTAGCAACAATCTCCTCTGGCTTCTTAACAGCTGCCTTTAATGGCTTCCCATCAGTTTTCATTTCTGGTTTTTCAATTCCTTGTATATCAGTTATTCTCAACTTAGTCAATTCCTGACACAAAATAACAATCAAGAACTATTAACACCAATAAAATCAGGTTGAGCAAACTACAATTATTTTGACATATGGTCTTTGACATACCTGGCGATGTCCTTTGGTTCGACGGTAATTCTTCCTTTTCTTTTTCTTAAAAATAATTACCTTAGCATCTAATGCCTGACAGAAGAATAATAAAATATAATAGCTAAATCAGGTGCATGACCTAAAGAGTTATAGTAATAAGAAATATTAGCAACAACGAATAGATGCTCTTGCAGTCTTTGTTAGTTATGGCAGAGAGAGAGAGAGAGAGTGAAGCTTACATGCTCCTCAACAACAGCATGAACAGCTGCATCTGGGAGAATAGGCCTACCGATAATTGTTTGGGTAGGTGAGCCAAGCAAGAGAACCTTGTTTAAAATCAACTGCAATTGACAACCATAGAAGCTCAAACAATCAATTAAATAGGAAACAAAAAAAGAAACAAACCAGGATGAGTGCACTTAGTTTTTCACAAAACATAGGACAATAAATCATTTAGTCAGAGGCTAATAGAATTCAGGGGTAAACCAGTTCAACCTGGCTAAATAGATAGTTTGACTTCTGATACAGGAGGTAGGAGACAATGAATGCCAATAGTGAATTAAATGACATGGTGCTTTTATATTCATCGGATACAGCTTTCATAAACATAAAACTTCTTACCAGTTACCAAACTCACATTCTGTCCCATCAAGCAAAATTTTTCATATAAAACGTTCTCTTCAATTTTACAGAAATATGATAACAAAGAACATTCTACAAAATTTGCAAATTCAACTCATCCTTTCACTTCAAGAGGAATATTCCTATTTGATCTCTCTCTCTCTCATCTTGAAAGATAAAGCTTATTAAATATTAACGAAAGCAGGATCCATTAAAAATGCTATGAACTTCGCTATTGGAATAAACTAGTATACGCATTGCTCTTGACAAGTTAACAATTTCTCTTTAGGCAACAAACTATTTATATGAGTCAAAACTCAGTAATCACCATCCGCTCACAAATACAAGCAAGGGAATTCATCCTATAAAATCAGCTGCACAATGCCATAACTAAGAATTTCTTCGACAAAATACTTCCTCACAGTTAAATTAGAAGAGAATCTACATTACATCAACTTGTTAACAGCAATGTAGCAATGGCTAGCTAAATAAAAATCCTTAAAAAAAAAAACTGGTGCCATTTGGCCAAATTGTCATTGAACCATTAAGATCCTTGAAACATGCATTAATAGGCAATAAAAAGAAGAAATCAAAATCCAATTAGTATAAATTTATGATAAGCAGAATAAAAAAAAAATACCAGAAAGTACCTTGTCATTGACTTCGCAGAATTTTAACCTCTCTGTGAAAATACAATCCCCATTGCTCACCTTAAACTGATGCGATCCGATCTTTAAAAAAAGAAAAATTCTTCAACATTTCAATTCTTAAATCCAAAAAATGCAAAAACAACGAAATAAACCACAACCAACAAATGAATACCTGAACCACTGCGAAAACCGGCTCATAATCTTTGAATACACGGTCGGACCGCTGGAGCGGGCCCACCACTTTGTACCCAATAGCCGCGGCCTCTGCTTCCTTCTCCTCAGGCGAGTAATCCCTATCTAAATCCGACGCCGCCTCGTCGTCCTCTGTTTCTCCATCGCTGGCCTCTTCCATTTCCAATTCGTTCTCCCTGTCGTCGCTTTTGCTGGACGAGAAGTAACGAGAGTGGGACCAGCGGGTGCACCACGACGGTTCCAAATTGGTGATGGTTATTACTGGATTTGATTTCGAGGTTAGCATTTCGAGGGTGGAGAGAGGCCGAGTCGTTTTGAGAGAAATGAGAGCCGTAGCACGGCGGGCCAGTGACTGGAGGCACCGTCGATGAGCCATGAAAACTTGGCGATGCCCGTTTTTTTTTTTTTGTTGGGGGGTTTAATGCGTTCAGGCAACTGGCTCGCTAGGGTTTAGCTATAATGAAAATGGGGTTTTCGATTTTTTTTTTCTTTTTCTGATACTGTGTATAAGTGTATTTTCCGTTTTTCTAATTTGCTAGGAAAAGCAGAAGCCCAATTATGCAATAAAAAAATAAAAACAACAGTGCTTTATTACCATTAATAGAATATCTTTTGACCTACATGATAATTAGTAAATCGAAATAAACCTTAATTAAATTAAAATAAACCTTTAAACTTTTAAATTATAACCAAATTCAAATGTCAAGTGATGACTAACAAGCATTCAAGAATTAATAATTTAATTTAAGTGAAATAATCATGAATTTAGATAAATCAAATACTCCTTTAGTTAATTTCTTTGTTAAGATTGACAAACAAACTTAAATTGAATAAAAATTCAACTATTTCTTTTAATTTTCATTCTCGATATCTAAATGAGAGTTGTTGAACATGTCACAAATAAGAAACAACATTTAAATATGTATTATTTTCCTATTAACTTAACTTTTAAAAAATACATGTAAACTTAATACCTTATATATTAAATTAAAATTTTTAAAATTCACAAATATAGTAAAAGATAACATTTGTATACGCATACCATAAAAGATTAGTAATGACTCAAATACAACTCGACTCATTGAAGGCAAATAATAATTGAGGTGGAGAGTCAAGAGCACACAAAATTAAGCCTCTCTCTCATCAAAACATGATTAATTAAAAGATAAATTCCATAGTTCCTAATCTTTTATTATAGTTTCGCTTAAATTTTTAACATTTAAACTGTTTTATTTGGATTCTTAACCTTCTAAATTAATTCTTTGTTAGTCCTTTCATTATATTATTTTATTAATAATTGAAACAAAATTTTTTATATGAAATGTGAAAAAATAATTTCAATGTGACATGTCATATAATTTACAATATGATTATCACGTCAATTTTGGTGGAATAAAAAAAATGATCAAAATGGAATTATTTTAAGACAATGAAAAATCCAAATAAAACAAAGGAATTAAAGTAAAATTAGAATAGAAGGGTATGGGACCGTATGTGAAATTTATCCATTATTTAAACATGTTAATTTTGAGATTACCACTCGAGAGTAAAATTCTAGCTATGTTAAGTTAATATGGGAATGCTTAGAAGAGTAAAAATTTTTACCAAGTCAATATAAAACAATACGTTTTAAAAATATTGAATTGTTATTATATATATATAATTAATATATCTATGAAAATTTTTAAGTAGTCAACTCTATTATTACATTGTTTATATAGTACTAAACTAATTGGAATTATATGAAATATTTAAATGCATAAATATACGGGTTATCAGAATTCAAAACTTTCTATTCTTAATCATAGACGAAACTTATTTGTAGCCAAAGCATATTATGCCTCAGCAATCGTTATGTGAAAACCTTAACAAGAAAAAAGTTGACCACAAAATTAGAGTTGACCAAAAACGATGTCGTGGGAGACGTAACGAAGTGTTGCAAACATAATATCGGTCTCGGCTGGTTCACCCAGGCAATTGTTTCGCTCCATTTGTCCGATTGTATCTCTCCCGCGCGAGACCCAATCTTACTGTTATACGTTCCTTTTTTTCCCTGTCGTTTCCATTCCTTCGATTCGAAGCAAACTACTTTTCGTTCTTCATATCGCCTTCTGTGTCGTTTCCATTCCTTCGATTCGAAGCAAACTACTTTTCTTTCTTCATATCGCCTTCATTTCTATAAAATAAAAGATATTTTATCGACAGATCTCATCCAAAGCGAACGGAAAATGGCGGGCCGGTTCGGATCGCAATCCTCTACGGTCGCCACCATGATCGTCACCAGCACGCCATCCACAGATCTCGCCTTGACTAATCTTGCTTACTGCTCGCCCTCCGATCTTCACAATTACGCCGTCCCTGGCACTAGACTCTTCCTCGCTAACGTCGGCGACGTCTTTGTTCTTTCTGTTTCATATCCTTTTTTATTTTTTCCTTTTCTTTTGTTCGCATTAATTCACAGTTTAACCGATAATTTACTGTCGCATTGTTCATAATTTTATTGATTGAAATTTTCATACTATAATTTGTAGTACTTGACTTGAAAATTAGCTGTTAGCGCTCTTTATTTATTTGCAAATTAATTTTTACTACGCACTTTTTCGGGAAATTAATGGAAATTATGGAATGTAAATTCATAAAGTTAGTCAGTGTTTGTTGCTGCTGATAATTTAGGATGTGTAAACTTTTAGAATGTTTCAATTTATTAGAATGAGAATTTTTCTTTCTTGAATTGTTTAAATACTTTTTGTTTTTGTTTATTACTAAATGAAATCGAATATCTCATGTTTTTGGAATTATTTTTCAGTTTTAAATTTTGCTGTTCTTGTCTGTGAACTTCAAAATCTTTCCGTTGAAGCTGGTTTTTTTGGTGGCCTTAACTTATAAATACTCCCCATGAGAGCATACGCAATGGATATATTGCCCTGAATGCTATCCAACGTCGGGTTGCTAGAGTTTCTAATGGTGACACTGTATCAGTGAGCAGGTTAGTTAAGTTGTTTTCAAATTTTTGGTGTTTAAACTGTTACTAGTCATTAACGAATTTTTTTCCTCAAGGTGCAGATTTATTCCACCTGAAGATTTTAACCTTGCATTGCTCACGCTGGAGTTGGAATTCGTGAAGAAGGGTACTAAAAGTGAACAGGTGAGATTTTAAATGCAGTACGATCTGTTTGTTATCTTAGATGATTTTACATTGCTCACATGGGTGGTAGTAGGATTAAATTTTGTGTATTATTTTTGTAGGTTGATGCTGTTCTTCTGTCTAACCAGCTAAGAAAGAGGTTTGTTAATCAGGTAGGGCTTCTTGCTGTTTGCTTGTTGCAAATGTCCACTTTTGTTTTATAATTGCGTGCTGGCTTTATTTTTGGCTTGGATTGGTTGATTATGAATTTTAGATTTCTTTTCGTCAATTCTCCCTTGTAGAACGAAGGGAATATTGAATAGATTTGTTTCAAATGCACATGTAAGGCTTTTGCTGCTCTTAGATCGATTCAAAATTAGAAAATAATATGCTTCATGACATTAGCCATCTTATTGTCCTCATATCTCATGTGTAATGCATGCTTATTGCTTTCTCCTTCTTGACACACACACACACAATGTACAAGAAATTTGGTCCTATATGCTGATGAAAGATTGGATGATTTTATTGAAGGCATGGAATACTGGTTTCGCTTTTCTGGCAGGTTATGACAGCTGGGCAAAAAGTTACATTTGAGTATCATGGTAATAACTATATTTTCACAGTCAATCAAGCTCAAGTAGAGGGGCAAGAAAAATCTAATGCTCCTGAAAGGGGGATGATTTCCAGTGATACCTACGTTATCTTTGAAGCACCAAATTCAAGTGGAATAAAGGTTATGTATTAATATGTTAGTAGCATTTTGTTTCCTTCACCTTTTTCCTGGCAGAATTTTGACCAATGGATGTCATTGTCATTCAGATAGGTTAGATTTGATTACATTTACAGAGTAAGATTGTAATTTAATCAGCTTGATGTGACTAGCTTCAATGGTTCACTGACTTGTGTTTTACTATGCAGATTGTCAATCAGCGTGAAGCTGCCAGTAGTAATATCTTTAGGCACAAAGAGTTTAATCTACAATCACTGGGTATTGGTGGCTTAAGTGCAGAATTTGCAGATATATTCCGAAGAGCTTTTGCTTCTCGTGTTTTTCCTCCTCATGTGACTAACAAGTAACATAACTTATTCTTCAAACCATATTAATTATGTTTCATATACCTATATGTTTGTGCTTTTAATAAGAAAGCTTTTGAGGTTCCAGGTTGGGGATTAAGCATGTAAAAGGCATGCTACTTTATGGACCTCCTGGTACTGGCAAAACTCTCATGGCTCGGCAGATTGGAAAGATGTTAAATGGAAAGGAACCAAAGGTTGGAGTTTGGTTGACCTTTTTAGTTAACACGGTTTATTTTTATTTGAGCCTGCATTCTTTGATCATTTTATTCTGATTATTCATGTTTCAGATGGGATAAAATTTATGTTTTTGTCTATGTTTCATCTCAATATATAACCTTGAATTGCACGTAATAGGTTGGCTGTAGGTAATAAGAGATATTGTTAATTTTTTGCTGTCTGGTACACATCCCATGGTTGTCATAGTGTTAATAGCATTTTGAATTGTGCTGTTGGAAGCTGTTTCGAGACACAATGTTGATTAACACTTTCTATGGGCATATCAACTGTGTGTTTTTCCACCATGTATGTTTTTGTCTATCATATTATTTACTGTCTTCCCCATGTTGCAGTAGTTGCTGTTTTTGCATCGGGGTGTATAACCTCCTTTGAGTGAAGTCTGTTGTGTAGTGTCTTCTTGTCCTGTTATCAGACTGCTTTCTTCCATTCATGTTTCAGAGCTCCTGCATTTGACTTTATTCACAATTATTTTGTCTATGTGGTGAATATTACATATTACTGTTATTGAGTTAGTGTAAAGTTTTCCTTCTTGGTGAATCAAATAGATTGTTAATGGCCCTGAAGTCCTGAGCAAATTTGTTGGTGAAACTGAGAAGAATGTTAGGGACCTATTTGCAGATGCTGAGAATGATCAAAGGACCCGTGGTAAGAGATATGTGCTCACTAGTTTTAGTTTTCTGGGTTACTGTTTTAATTTTATAATGAAGCATCATGTCTTTGACTTTTCAGGTGATGACAGTGATTTGCATGTCATAATTTTTGATGAAATCGATGCTATTTGTAAGGTACAAGACAGCTTTATATACATGTTCTCATCCCTTAGATCAACAGTAGCACTTTCATCTTGTTTCATGTGATGTTTCTAATTTTCTTTGTATTGTAACTTTCAAAATGCACATGTTCTTTAAAATATTGAACCAGTTATAATAAAGTTGTTGCAAAGAGCTTGACCCTATTTAAGTCCTCGAATCATTATCTGATGTTGATAAAGTATATTTGCACCTTTCTATGTATGTTGTAGTGTTTAAGATGCTAACAAAATCAGGGGAATCTTCATAAAAAATTTAT